GCGCTGGGTACGTAATTCCTCCTTTAGCTCTGAGAAGTTTGATGGACTGAAGGCTTCTTCTCTCATTTCGTCAAAGTCATTCTCCGTCCAGCTTTCATCCCTTGCTGGCGATGAGCTGCGTTCCTTTGCAGGGGGAGATGCGCTCTTATTTTTTGAATTTACAGCTTTTCTGCCTTGCTTTTTCCCCATCTTTGTGGTTTTATCTGCCTCTGGTCTTTGATGATGGTGACGTACTTATGGGGTTTTGGTGTGGGTGTCCTTCCTATTTGTTAGTTTTCCTTCTAACAGTCAGGACCCTCAGCTGTAGGTCTGTTGGAGATTGCTTGAGGTCCACTCCAGACCCTGTTTGCCTGGGTATCAGCAGCAGAGGCTGCAGAAGATAGAATATTACTGAACAACGAGTGTACCTGTCTGATTCTTGCTTTGGAATCTTCCTCTCAGGGGTATACTCCACAGTGTGAGGTGTGGGGTGTCACTCTGCCCCTAGTGGGGAATGTCTCCCAGTTAGGCTACTCAGGGGTCAGGGACCCACTTGAGCAGGCACTCTGTCCATTCTCAGATCTCAACCTCCGTGTTGGGAGATCCACTGCTCTCTTCAAAGCTGTAAGACAGAGTCGTTTGCGTCTGCAGAGGTTTCTGCTGCTTTGTTGTTGTTGTTGTTGTCATTGTTTAGCTGTGCCCTGTCCCCAGAGGTGGAGTCTACAGAGACAGGTAGGCCTCCTTCAGCTGCTGTGAGCTCCACGCAGTTCGAGCTTCCCAGTAGCTTTGTTTACCTACTTAAACCTCAGCAATGGCAGCCGCCTCACCCCCAGCCTCGATGCTGCCTTGCCATTAGATCATGGACTGCTGTACTTGCAATGAGGGAGGCTCCGTGGGCGTGGGACCCTCCCGGCCAGGTGTGGGATATAATCTCCTGGTGTGCCCATTCCCTAAGACCCTTGGTAAAGCGCAGTATTGGGGTGGGAGTTACCCGATTTTCCAGGTGTTGTGTGTCTCAGTTCCCCTGGCTAGGAAAAGGGATTCCCTTCCCCCTTGCACTTCCCAGGTGAGGCAATGCCTCAGCCTGCTTCAGCTCTCGCTGGTCGGGCTGCAGCAGCTGACCAGCACTGATTGTTCCGCACTCGCTAGTGAGATGAACCCAGTACCTCAGTTGAAAATGCAGAAATCGCCTGTCTTCTGTGTGGCTCGCACTGGGAGCTGAAGACTGGAGCTGTTCCCATTCGGCCGTCTTGCTCCACCCCCGTTGAATAACATTTTGATATATAGATATACCTCATTGGCCTACCCACTTATCTTTCAATGGACTTTTCCGTTGTTTCCATTTTTTGGCTATTGTGAGTAATGCTTCTCTGAACATCAATGTGCAAATATTTGTTCAAATTTTTTTCAGTTCTATAGGGAGTAAGTCCAGAAGTGGAATTGCTGGATCAAATGGTAATTTATGTTTAATATTTTGAGGAACAGCCATACCACTTTTTACAGTGGCTATAACATTTCCCATTCTCATCAGCAATGCACTAGAGCTCTGATTTTTTCATCTATTTGAAAACACTTGTTGTTTTGTGTTGCTGTCGTTGTTGTTGTTTATCAAAGCCATCCTAAAGTGTGTGAGGTGGTGTCACATTGTGGTTTTGATTTGCATATCTCTAAGTATTCATGATGCTGAGGAGCTTTGCATGGGTTTATTGGATATTTTTATATCTTCCTTGGAGAAAACTCTATTTTAATCCTTTGTTCATTTTTTAATTGGGTTTTTGGATGTTTCCTAGTTTTTCATGTATTCTGGAAATTAATTTCTTATCACACTTATAATTTGCAATTATTTTTCTCATTTCATGGGTTGCCTTTTTACTTTCTTGTTAATATTCTTCGATATATAAAAGGTTTTGATTTTTATGAAGTCCAATTTATCCATTTTATTTGTTGCCTATGCTTTTGTTGTTACAACCAAGGAATCATTTTGAAATCCAATATCATGAAGCTTTTCTCCTGTTTTCTTCTAAGGGTTGTATAGCTTTTGTTCTTACATTTAAATCTTTGATCTACTGTGGGTTAATTTTTGTATATTATGTTAGGTAAAGGTTCCACTCATTCTTGCCCTTGGATATCCAGCTTTTCCAATATCATTTGGTGAGAACGCTGTCCTTTCCCCATTGAATGATCTTGGCACACTCGATGAAAATCATTTGGACATATATGCAAGTATTTCTTTTTGGACTCTCTGTTCCATTTCATTAATTTCTATGTCTTCCTTAATACCAGTACCACACTGTATTGGTTACTGGGGCTTTGTTTTAAATGCTGAAATCCTGAAGTGTCAGTCCTCTGGCTTCATTCTTCCTCTTCAAAGTTGTTTGTCTATTTAGGGTCATGAGTTTCAATATAAATTTTAGGACGGATTTTTCTTTTACTGCAAAAATGTCACTGAGATTCTGATAGGAAGTGTATTGAATCTGCAGCTCACTTTGGGAAGCACTGTCCTAACAATAGTGAGTCTTCTAATTCATGAAAACAAAATGTCTTTCATTTTATTGATGTTATCATTAAGCAATATTTTATGGATTTCAGGTGTAATCATTTCACCACTTTGGTTAAACTTATTCATAAATATTTTATTCTTTCTGATATTAATACAAATCACAATTTTTTCTTAATTTCCGTTCAGATTGTTCATGGTTAGTGTACTGAACTACAACGGATATTTGAATGTTATTTTTTTATTGTGCAACATTACTGAATTCATTTATTAATTTTAATAGGTTTGTTCCATCTTTAGGATTTTCTACATATAACTTCAAGTTATCTGCAAACAGAAATAATTTTACTCCTTTCATCAAACTTGAATGTCTTTTTTTAAATTCTTGCCTAATTTTTCTGACTAGATTTTTCAATACTACATTGAATAGAAGTGTCAAAAGCAGCATCCTTGTCTTGTTCTTGCTCATACAGGGAAAGCTTTCAGTCTTTCTCCATTGAGTATGATGTTAGCATTGGTTTTTTCACATATTGCCTTTATGGTGAGGTGGTTTCCTTCCATTGTTAGTTAGAATGTTTTTATTATGAAAAAATATTGAATTTCATCAAATGCTTTTATTGATTCAATCTTATTACTGATTATAGTTCTATTCATATTTTTGTGTTTTTCTAGGAATTTGTCTATTCCATCTAGGTTATCCAATTTATTGGCATAGAATTATTTACAGTACTTTCTTAATCATTATTTTATCAGAATTGGTAGTAATCTTTCATTTTCTTTTTCTTGTTTTTTTTTTAGAGGGAGAGACAGGCGCTCACTCTGTAGGCCAGCCCAGGCTGAAATACAGTGGTGTGACTATGCCTCCCTGCAGCCTCAAACTCCTGGGCACAATCAATTCTCCTTCTTCAGCCTCCTAAAATACTAGGACTACAGATGCATGCCACTATGCCCAGCTAATTGGTTTTAAACTTTTTTGGGGGAGACTGGGTCTCCCCAGGTTACCTATGCTGGTCCAAACACCTGGCCTCAAGAAATCCTCAGATTGTGACCTCCGAAAGTACTAAGATTAAAATAAGACCCACCATGCTCAGACTCCATTTTCATTTCTGATTTTAGTAATTTTAGTCTTCTCTCTTTTTTTCTTAGTCCAGTTAATGGTCATCAATTTTGCTGATTTTATTTTGATGAATCAACTTTTGTTTCATTAGTTTACTCTATTCTTTTTCCATTCTGCATTTTATTTTTAACCACTCTAATTCATATTTTTTCCTTCATACACTGTGCTTGGGTTTCGTTTGCTCTTCTTTCATATCCTGAAGTATGAGAGAGCTTGCTTCATACCATTCTTTTAAAGTTTTAATACAGTCAATGAAAAAAGAAGCCACACACAGACGAACCAATGTCAGCAGCTATATTACTACCACCAGCATTAGCCTTGAGGTCAAATAGTCCTAGAAAGAAATCTCAGATCCTAGAAAGACATCTCGATTACTAGCCACATGACACCAGGAAAGTTTTTACACTACTCTAAGTTTCTGCCTTTTTATAGGCAAAATGGAAATAATGTCTACCTGGCAGGCTTACTGTGTGAATTACATGAGGTTCAGGTAAAGTATTTAGCACAAGGCCTTCCATATAGGACATGCCCCTCAACAGTACCTATTTCCATATATATGTAGAAAAAGAGGTAACACATAAAACACTAGGACATGGTTACTGACTGCTTGTGGGTGACAAAGGAAAAAAATCCAAGTGCAAAGAATCAAGCCTGGTATGTTAGTTTTCAGCAACTGAGATGCATCCAGGATGGGATTAGACATACAAGATAATTTATCAGGGAAGACACCTCTGAGGGAATGTGGGGCAGGCATGAAGGTAGTGTGGGATAATCCACAGACCACTAAGCAAAGCTGACTCCTGTGAAAAAGAAAGAGAAAGAAGTTTTAGGTATCAATGCAGTTCTAAGAGAGTTTTTGCAAGGCTGATGGGGAGTCCTCCAACAAGTCACCCATTAAAGTTAGGGAGAGTCTCAGAGAACTAGGCTTACTTTCACGCCCTTGTTGGGAGCCTGTGGGAAGCGTTCTGTGCAAAGGAGTTGGTGAATTTGAAATGCACTGACCTGGGCCTTCTGTCAATCAGGTCCCTGCCATGGAGATCTGGCAGGGTCTCATTCATGGCTGCCACCACAGAGACACTAAGTAAAAGATGCAACCATGAAAAGGTGTAAAGGTGGATAGTTCTAATGACAGACAAAATAATGATCAGCCTTTCTCCCATCCGAAAGCTTTCTGAAATATCTGAGTGCAATAGAGAATTGACAGAGGACTGATCAAAAACCTAGAAACACAGTGAGAGAGGAAAAAGAACTGCAAGAATATAATCATCTCCCATGAGGTTTCCAACAGAAATACTGCATTCCTTGAAGAAGCAATTATAGAGTACTTCATGTCACATGCTTTTGCCTGAGGCTCCCCCCTTAAATAACATCATCTCCATTCGTTTTCTTTTCTTTCCATGACAGCTCCTTTAGGAAGAGGAAAGCTATCCTGGAATCATCTGATAGAGCAACTGTGATGTCATTTCTGTATTTCAGGAAGTCTGGCAGGTATGATGGCCTTTTCTCTTCTCCCATTTCTTGCAGGGCTGACGGCCATGCTTGGGAGAGGGAAAAGACTTATTTCTCTGTATCTGGGACTGGATCGCCTCCTTCCTCCACTAAACTCCTGCATCCCAGCACTAATTCCTGCAGTTCCCTTTCTACCTGGCCTTTATGCTCCCTGTACCCCCAATGTCTTTAAAACATAATTATCTCCAGCTTCTGCTCGTTTGTTTCTCAGATTTAAATGAGAAACACATTTTCACATTGTGAAACCCTCTTCATTATTTTTAACACTCTCTCAATAGTGTAATTCTCTCCATTCCCACAAAGCTCAACCACTTCTCAAAGTGCTGCTTGACTTCTTGTCTCCAGACTTTGAAATCTTCCTTGCATATGACTGCCTCATTACCTTTCTAAAATCTAGCTAATTCACTTAATCAAGAATCTCCAGGGATCTACTCTAGCCTATTTGTAAGTTCACATTTCTTCTATTTACTAATCCTTCTCACTTCCTTTACCTCTACTTCCTAGTATAATTCCTCCATCCTAATTAGAACTGTCTTCCTCACATCCCTGCCCCTTCACCCATATAGACATAAAATTCTTAGTTCCAATGCTATGCCTAAAAACAGGGTGAATGCCCCTCCACCATCTGCACTACAGACTTAACCACACCCTTCATCACAACCAATCTCTGACCTTGTGGAGAACAAAGACTTTAGGATTAGCCTGTGAACCTGAGAGTCAGAACACAACCTATGTGTGGTTGAGACCTTTCCCTGATGACCAATTCACACGTTCAAAAAAGATATAGAAATGAAGAAGGCAAAGTCCCTACCCCAGGGGACATAAAGACTAAGACAGGAAATGAGACCTCAAAATAATCATGATACCAAAATAAAAAAAAAAGTGAAGGCCACAAGAAATCAGAGAAATCTGATGGGAAATATAGCTCCACATTGGAATCACTGGAAAACATTTTTAAAAGTGGGTGCTCAAGCGCCACCCATGAGTTCCAGTTTAAAGGTCTAGAGAGGGACCCAGGCACCGGTAATTTTTAAGCCTTCCCTGACACTACAAACATGTAACGAGGATGGAGAACTCTTGTAATAGGTAGAACTTAAAACTAAATCAATGATTCTCAGGTAGAAGTACTGGAATTATATAAGGACCTTTTTCGACATACATAAGACTATATGTTTTTGGCCCTAATTATTAATGGGCTACACCAAGAATTCAGTAATCCAGTTGGGAAAGAGAAGCTGAATGGAAAAGCCACCTTAATTGATATGTTAAAATGTATATAAAGCATTTTCAAATGAGTGATAAGTGATGCTAAACCTTCTCTAAATAATATTTATGGGAATGTTAATAATATGAGTATTCTAGGCTGGGTGCTGTGGCTCACGCCTGTAATCCCAACACTTTGGGAGGCTGAGGCTGGCAGATCATGAGGTCAGGAAATCAAGACCGTCCTGGCTAACGCGGTGAAACCTGGTCTCTACTAAAAACACAAAAACAAAATTCGCTGGGTGTGGAAGCTGGCGCCTGTAGTCCCAGCTACTCCATAGGCTGAGGCAGGAGAATGGCGTGAACCCAGAGGTGGAGCTTGCAGTGAGCAGAGATCCTGCAACTGCACTCCAGCCTGGTCTACAGAGCGAGATTCCATCTCAAAGAAAAAAAAATTAAGAAATTTTTTTAAAGTGAGTTCTAAAAACTGTGTGATATTTCTGGAAATCGAATATGTTATCAGTCATAGTGTCATATGCCACAGAAGTAACTAGATTTCTATGTGAGCTGTGTCTTTACCATAAAAAAAAAACTAATAAAAATCTCATTAGATTTTTAACCATGGTCATTTTAAATCTTTGTCATTCCCAGACAGTTGCTTTGATTCCTCCTCGAAGTATTTACAGTCAGCTATGGTCCAAAACTGCTTTTTCTTCAAGGAGATATATGGAAAAGACTCTGACAAAGACTCTTGAATACAAGTTTCTGATAACTTCAAGATCATACCACTGGACTCTCTGAGAACTTTCAAAATTTTAATGAACAGGCTGATACCTTCATGAAATTCAAGACAAAGAAGAAAAAAACTCAGTTATATTGGGCTTAATAATCAAAAAGATAATGTTTTCATAATTTTTTATTTGAAAATGTGCTGATTCTTTGAATGTTTTATTCTCCAGATTTATGAACTTTCTCTCTTAAGCTCTTTATACTTTACAACTATTTGGTAAATTATACTTTTGTAAACAAAAATGAAAACATTTGCTTTTGCTCCCAATCTGAGTGCCCCAGAATTGGGAAACTATTCATAGTATTCATGAGTATTCATTTGCTTAGGGTAATAAAGATATTTGCACAAGTTCAGAGAGAATCTACTCTCTTTATAACAGGACACATTTGAAAACATTGGTTATATAACCAAGGCTTTGACTGGGATATTCTATTTGAGAATATACACAGAATAAACCCATAGGGAATGCAGGGAAAGTCTGAAGTTGGCCTTTGTTTGGCTTCCTAGTCTCAAGAGGTTTTTAGAAGTTTAATCTGAGAGTCTTATAAAACTTCTAACAAAGCAAAATTTAAAAAGATCCTTTATGGTCCATTGCTACTCTTGCTGTACTTAGATAAAGAATCTAGGCAAGTTGGCTGAGACTCAACCTATTATGCAAACAAATTCATCCTACTGGAAGTATCTTTGGAAAAAATAGAGAATCCTATATAGAGAAAAATTATGTTGAAAAGAAAAACTGTAGTACATCTGTTACCAGACTGAACCACTGCTCATTATCTTTGAGCATTTATAACCTACTGGTAGACTGGAGTGGACGCCGAATTCTTTTAGTTCTTCCAATTCAATTTTCTCCAATGAAACCATTAAGAACAAGAACAGCTCTGTTCCTGAAGTCATATAAGCTAGAGGTGGACAACTCAATGTAAATTTCATGGTAAAACCCTCAGGTCTGAGGTGTGGGCCACTCAGAGCTCACCAAGTGTTCAACACCGTAACTTAGAGATACTTAAACTGCAAAGCACAACAGCAAGTTGATGACTGTACACTGTAGACAGCTTTTTTCAAGATATCAGAACAAGACTATCAATCGTGATGAGACTCTTACTTCTCTTAGTTTGTCCTTGCTTATGCCTGTCTCCTTTGCTTCCCAGAATAGTGCTGTACTTAGGATTTCACAAGAAGTAGCTTCTGAGAGTAAGTTAACAGTGTCAGATATTTCATGTCAACCACACTTATTATTATTTTTAAGATGGAATTTCTCTCTTGTTGCCCACGCTGGGGTGCAATGGCAAAATCTTGGCTCACCACAACCTCTGCCTCCTGGATTCAAGTGATTCTCGTGCTTCAGCCCCCCTAGTAGCTGGGATTATAGGCATGCACCACGACATCAGGCTAATTTTGTATTTTTAGTAGAGACGGGGTTTTTACATGTTGGTCAGCCTGGTCTCGAATTCCTGACCTCAGGTGATCCGCACGCCTCGGATTCCCAAGGTGCTGGGATTACAGGCGTGAGCCACCGCACCTGGTCCACACGTTTTTACATAACAAGAGATCCTTTAGTCCACCCAAAGGCTGAAGTTAGCTGCATCTTTAACACAACTTTTTCCTCAAATGCATAGTTTTTTTTTTTTTTTTTTTAATTCTACTTGTGTACTTGCCTATTCCTCTCGCTCCCTGTTTTAATTTAATATGGACATGCAATGCTAGAAAATAGAATTGCTTTCTACCAGCTAAACACGGGGGAGCCTGTGGAGGTTGTGACACTTCTTGTTGCACATGGATATATACATCAGGTATTATGGAGACTCAGTTGTAAAAATCAACAAATGTGCTGCCTGGTTAAAATGACTAGACTCTTCTGGCTTCTTCTTTGATCTATTCTATTACAGTTGGTTTGCATCTTGCCTAAGATGCATAGTCCAACCTCTTGATATTTTCGTCCTGATAGTCATACTGGTAGTCTTCCTCATGTGGTGCAAACTACAAACATTTTTATTTGTGTGCAAATATTTGTGTGCAGCCATCCTTCAAATATTAAATTGTTTCTCTTGGGCTGGAATTAAAAAACCGAAAGAAATGTGTGGTTTATGGGCCGAGTGCAGTGGCTCACATCTGTAATCCCAGCACTTTGGGAGGAAAAGGCAGGCAGATCACAAGGTCAAGAATTCGAGACCAGCCTCGTCAATATGGTGAAACCCTGTCTCTACTAAAAATACAAAAATTATCTGGGTGTGGTGGTGTGCGCCTGTAGTCCTGTAGGGAGACCCCCTGAAACCATTGCTATGGAATAAAAGATGAAATGCTCCTGATTGTTGCAAATACAAAACATCATGCAGGATTGTGTAAAGAAAATGTCAGGTTGGACTGCCAGAATGAGCCAACAGCACGTGATGTACTTCCCCTGCAGAGAGCCTATAAATGGACGTGTAGTCAGGGAGGTTTCACGTCACCAAGATTCCCATCCCAGAAAAGTAGATGTTCATAGCTCTGGGAATGGAATGCAACCCTTGCGGAGAGCCTATTAATAGACACATGAGGGGTGCCTGTTCATATGGATAGGATAGGGTTATAAAGGCACTTATCTTGCCACGGCTCTTCTAGGTCTCTTTAGGGTTTAGGCATACTCCCTTCTCAGAATTTTTTGGTTTAACCAGTTGTCTAGCTTCACATCCTCTTTCTATTGATTGTTACAACCAGCTTTTCCTGCAACTGTTACTGCTGATTAATATCTTGCTAATCATAGGATATGGATAGATTGTGTTCCTGTTTTAAGGCTCTGTTAGAAAATGCTGACGCACACACTATGTTGTACATTTTTATCTCTGTATACTGTACTTCTACATACCGATGTTTTGTTAAGAATTACTTCATCCCCATGTGACCATCTCACCTCATAATCAAACGACCCTAAATCCCTCACTAACATACCCTCGCCCTCACTAAACTTAATAATAATTACAGACGAGCAAATGCTGAGAGATTTTGTCACCACCAGGCCTACCCTACAAGAGCCCCTGAAGGAAGCACTAAACTTGGAAAGGAACAACCAGCACCAGCCACTGCAAAAACATGCCAAAATGTAAAGACCGTCGATGCTAGGATGAAACTACATCAACCAGCGAGCAAAATAACCATACAACATCACAATGACAGGATCAAGTTCACACATAACAATATTAACCTCAAATGTAAATGGACTAAATGGTCCAACTAAAAGACACAGACTGGCAAGTTGGACAAAGGGTAAAGAGCCATCAGACTGCTGTGTTCAGGAGACCCATCTCACGTGCAGAGACACACATAGGCTCAATATAAAGGGATGGAGGAAGATCTACCAAGCAAATGGAAAGCAAAAAAAGCCAGGGGTTGCAATCCTAGACTCTGATAAAACCGACTTTAAGCCAACAAAGATCAAAAGAGATAAAGAAAGCCATTACATAATGGTAAAGGGATCAATTCAACAACAAGAGCTAACTATCCTAAATACATATGCACCCAATACAGGAACACCCAGATGAATAAAGCAAGCCCTTAGAGACTTACAAAGAGACTTAGACTCAAACACAATAATAATGGGAGATTTTAACACCCCACTGTCTACATTAGACAGATCAATGAGACAGAAAGTTAACAAGGATATCCAGGAATTGAGCTTAGCTCTGCACCAAGCGGACTTAATAGACATCTGTAGAACTCTCCACCACAAATCACAGAATATACATTCTTCTCAGCACCACGTCACACTTATTCCAAAATTGACCACATAGTTGGAAGTAAAGCACTCCTCAGCAAATGTAAAAGAAGAGAAATTTTAACAAACTATCTCTCAGATCACAGTACAATCAAACTAGATCTCAGGATTAAGAAACTCACTCAAAACCACAAAACTACATGGAAACTGAATAACCTGTTCCTGAATGACTACTGGGTACAAAACGAAATGAAGACAGAAATAAAGATGTTCTTTGAAACCAGTAAGAACAAAGATACAACATACCAGAATCTCTGGGACACATTTAAAGCAGTGTGCAGAGGGAAATTTATAGCACTAAATGCCCATAAGTGAAAGCATGAAAAATCTAAAATTGACGCCCTAACAACACATCACAATTAAAAGAATGAGAGAAACAAGAACAAACACATTCAAAAGCTAGCAGAAGGCAAGAAGTAATTAAGATCAGAGGAGAAATGAAGAAGATAGAGACACAAAAAACCCTTCAAAAAAATCAATGAATCCAGGAGCTGGTTTTTTGGAAAGATCAAGAAAATTGATGGACTAATAAAGAAGAAAAGAGAGAATAATCAAATTGACACAATAAAAAATGATAAAGGGGATATCACCACGGACCCCACAGAAATACAAACTACCATCAGAGAATACTACAAACAACTCTACGCAAATAAACTAGAAAACTAGAAGAAATGGATAAATTCCTGGATACATACACTCCCCCAAGACTAAACCAGGAAGAAATTGAACCCTTGAATAGACCAATAACAAGCTTTGAAATTGAGGTAATAATTCGTAGCCTACCAACCAAAAAAGTCCAGGACCAGACGGAATCACAGCCAAATATTCCCAGTTACAAGGAGGAGCTGGTACCATTCCTTCTGAAACTATTTCAATCAGTAGAAAAAGAGGGAATCCTCCCTAACTCACATGGGAGGCCAACATCATCCTGATACCAAAGCCTGGCAGAGATACAACAAAAAAAGATAATTTTAGACCAATATCCCTGATGAACATTGATGTAAAAATCCTCAATAAAATACTGGCAAACAGAATCCAGCAGCACACCAAAAAGCTTATCCACCATGATCAAGTGGGCTTCATCCCTAGGATGCAAGGCTGGTTCAACAGACACAAATCAATAAATGTAATCCAGCATATAAACAGAACCAAAGACAAAAACCACATGATCATCTCAATACATGCAGAAAAGACCTTTGACAAAATTAAACAGCCCTTCATGATAAAAAAAAACTCTCAATAAATTCGGTATTGATGGAACATATCTCAAAATAATAAGAGCTATTTATGAAAAATCCACAGCCAATATCATACTGAATGGGCAAGAACTGGAAGAATTCCCCTTGAAAACTGGCACAAGACAGGGATGCCCTCTCTCACCACTCCCATTCAACATAGTGTTGGAAGTTCTGGCCAGGGCAATCAGGCAAGAGAAAGAATTACAGGGTATTAAATTAGGAGAAGAGGAAGTCAAATTGTCCCTGTCTGTAGAGGACGTGACTGTATATTTAGAAAACCCCATCATCTCAGCCCAAATCTCCTTAAGCTGATAAGCAACTTCAGCAGATTCACAGGATACAAAATCAATATGCCAAAATCACA